CTGAGAATCCTGGAGGAATACACAATTCATCGTAGCACCCCCACCTCAGAGTGTAATCGCATTTCTGCTTGGTAGAGGCGGGGCCCAGCAAAGGTGGGCTCCTTTTGAATGTGTGGTCAGCATCTGTACAAATGCATTTTATTTGCTATAGTTTGTAAAGCTGTAAAGTTAAAAGAGATGAAAACCTTTTCAGCATAAATATATTTTACTTGCACTGTGTTTTTTAGCTAAAAGTGAAAACCTAGATTAAATAAAATCAAAGTTGAGAAGAATCATCAAAAGACTGTTTCTCGGTGTGAATCAAGTGTTGAAAAATGGTTGGTGTATTTTGTCAGTAATTGTACATAACTTTTGGCACATGACATAGAAATGGCTATGTAAACTATAATTATTTTGCTAAGAGACTGTATGCAAGCCTTGGGCCGACTTTACAGACGTCCAGAGCAAAGCCCCTTCTTTGTACCTATTTTTTTATTACAAATATACTAATTGGTTCTTTCTATTTTCAGAGGTTATTGTATGAAATTGTCTATTGATAGTACTTTTATGACTGTAAATACTCCGGCTTTCTCCGTGTGAATTCTCACATTAGACTTTAATTCAAGCGCGTGTGAACTGAACGCTGATCAGTATTTTTTATCAACACCTGAGAACTGTTACACCTTTTATTTTGTCTTTTAGGAAATCCCTGTCTTTCCATTTTTTCATGTAAATTTTGCACAGTTACTTGTTCATATGTAAATATTTTACTTTCAAAAATGAAGTTTTTAATTGCTATTGTTTTATATAGGATTGAAAGAAAATTAACTCCTTTATTAAAAACAAATTTATCTGTATTTGTTTTGCCTATTTTTCCCCAGTTTTCCAGTTTTAGATTCTGCTGCCAGATTGCACTCTGGCTCTGCTGAGGCACTGGTTTCTGAGCCACCTGTTGGAATCTGTAGCTGAGCCCCAGCAGAGCTGGGAGAAAGAACTTTCTCTGTGAGGACAGGGGCTGAGCCGCCCTGTGCGTGGAGTCCGGGGGCTGGAGACTGCGCTTACATCTTCTGCTCTCACAGGTGGAGATGAGCTGGGCACACCTAGGAGGGGCGGGGGGAGGCCCAGCGCAGGGGGAGATGCACACAGAAACGCAGCTGAGGTGCCCAGAGGGCCCCAGCCCTGACGCAGACCTCCTGTGGCGAGAGAAGGCGTCTCCAGGGCAGTTTGTGGTACAGGTTGGCCCTGACAGGTTGCAGCTCCTGCTGGGCCCTCAGAGACTCAGCGCCAATGTGTACCACACTGCTCCCTGCCTTTGAGCACCTTGGAGAGCCTTTGGGAGCAGTCTCTGATGCGACTGGAGTCAGTCCCCCGTCATGACATTCACTCCACCTGGTGTGACGGAGCCACAGCGATAATACAGGTTTACTTACAAGTGCTGCTGGAGACACTGCCGCTGTTCCCACACCTGTTGCACTGCCCCACTGGGGCTGCCGTGACAAAGGACCACGGATCGTCCCACAGCTCTGGGGGCCACAGGTGCCAGCAGGGTGGGTTTCTCCCCAGGCTCTGGGGAAGGGTCTGCTCTCCCAGCTTCTGGCAGCTGCTGGCACCTTTGGGTTCCTTGGCTTAGACACAGCTCCCAATCTCTGCCTTCGCCTTTCCGCAGCTTCTCCCTTGTGTGTGTCAGTCTCTGGGTCCAGCTTCCCCTCTCTGTAAGGACCCCCAGCCCTGTTGGATCAGGGCCCACCCAAACAACCTCATTCTGACTGGATTACCTGTGTAAAGACCCTAACTCCAGATAGAGTCCCATTCGGAGGACCGGGGGTAAGGAGTCCTCCATATCTTTTTTAAGGAGGAAACAGCACCCTGGACACTTGCGGCCACACCGAGTCTCAGCAGGAAGCACTGGTGGGCGCTCTCCAGCTTCCTACTGCAGGCTGTGCCAGGGTCGTTCCCTGATGGGGTCATGCCTGTGCTTTCCATCCATGACCCATACCTGCCTTTCACGAAGTTCTTGGCCTGAAATAAATGAGTTTAATCAGGTACAAAGGGCAGTTGCACTTGAATTTCTGCGAGGATGATTGATTTCATTCCAGCTCTTCTGCTCTTCATGTTGGTTCGGTCAGTCTGCGTGGGGCGGTCACGGGGACTCCCCTCAGCCAGGCACTGCCACAAGACCGGGTCCGCAGGCGCGTTTGTTGTACTCTGTTCTTGAGACGCGTAGCTGCTGTTTCGCATCTCATCACAGGCTTGCTGGCTGCCGTCAGTCTGATCTGGGTGTTTGCACAGACCTGGGGCACGAGCAGCCTGATGTGAACATGACCGGGATGGCCGCTCTTGCTGCCTCCACTCCCCACATACAGGCAGCTCCAGTTGGGCAAAAAGGCAAGAAAAACAGGCACCAAGTATGGAGAGGAAGAAGGTGAACAAAAAATTTAGAGGTGACACGACTATATGTCTCGGAAGTCCAGACGAACCTACAAACACAACACTGAGCATGGTGCGTGAACTCCGAAAGAGGGCCGGAGGCAAGGCCGGTAGCTGGAGGCGTCTGTAGTTCCGTGTACTCGCAACCAACAACCAGGTTAAAAACGTGCCGTCAACAATAGCACAGAGAACACATGCCTAGGTATACACTGAATGAAAGATGTATGAGATCCTTACACGGGAACTGAGGAATCGAAGCCCTCAGCGGAGGCCAACACCACAGTGCTGGTGGGGAAGACTCACTGTTGCTGAAGACAGCAAGTGTGTCCAAACTGAGAAACAGAAGCAATGCCGGCTCAACCAAATCCCAGCAGGATTTTCCTAGAAACTGACAGTCTGATTCCACAAATGTATATAGAAATGCAGAGGACAGCCTAGGACAGAATGGAGCACTTGACCCTCCCACATTTCAAGACTTCCTCTGAAGTGACAGCAATCAGGACGGCGTGGTGCAAAGACAGGCGTGGCTGAAGGCCCTGGTGCAGTTCTGTGCCCTATGGGGGAACGTGAGCCTGGAGTCCATCTTCACACTGTACGTAAACATGAACTTGAGGTGGACAGAGACCTGGAAAGCATCAGAGGTCTTCATGACTGGGAGTGGGAAAGGATTTCTAAGGACGTAGAAGGCACAAATCCTGAAGAAGAATGGATAAATTGGGCCTCAAAGCTACAGTCTTTTGCTCATCAAGATGCCCTTGGAGGTTGGTCAGCGTTTAGTTCAAGGTCAGAGTGGAACCTTTGCTTTTTGGCAATCGCCTGTTATGGTCCGTGGTACAGGATGTGGTACGGGATGTGGACGGGACATGATATGGGACATGGTATGGGACGTCGTACGGGAGGCACAGGAGATTTTCTTTAGACTGGCTTATTCGCCACACTTATGAATTCCACAATCTATCATTTAGATTTCATGAACACAGTGGGAAAAAAGTGTATTCAATTTTTACTCTATGAAATACATTGTTTCTGAAAAAGTTTAGATACTCATCTATATTTTTTTCTTTATTGTTTTGCTCTATTACTGAGAAAAAATAAAATGGAAAGTAAATTTCTCTTTAGAATGTTAAAAAAGGTATATAAAATAAAAAGGCAAGCCACAGACTTGGAGAAATATTTGCAATATTTATACATGACAAAGGAATAAAGAATTCCACAACTCAGTGATAAAAAGACAATACAAGAACAAATGTGCAAGACACTTGAACAGGTGCTTTAGAAAAGATATACAAGTGGTGAAAAGCAACTGAAAAGGTGCTCACCATCAGTGGTTATCAGAGAAATGCAAATAGAGACCACAGTGAGGCTCCACTGTGTGCCCACCCTCAGGGCTTGAATCTGAACGACTGCCATCCAGTGGTGGCGTGGTGCGTGACACAGGAAGCCAAATGCATGTGTATCCAGTGCATGACACAGGAAGCCAAATGCATGTGTATCCAGTGCATGACACAGGAAGCCAAATGCACGTCTACCCGGTGTGTGACACAGTGACAAAGCTGAGTGTGCATCTGTCCTGTGACCAGCAGTTCCACTCCTAAGCATCTACTTGAGCATGAGTTCCTTTGTCCACCAAAAAGTCATGTAAGAATGTTCACAGTGGCTGTATTCATTGATGCTTAAGATGGAAGCAGCCCAAATGCCCATCAGCAGGTGAATGGAGAGTCAAATGGAGGCATATTTAGTCAGTGAAACGTCTCCCAGGAATAACAAGGAACGAACTCCTGATGTGCTCAATGATGTAGCTGAATCTCAGAAGAACTACGCTGACTGGAGGAGGCCAGACACAGAAGCCTGTGCATTCTGATTCCACCTGATGGAAGCTCACGTGTGGGTAGAAGCAGGGCGTGGGCCTCCGGTGAGGAGACTGTCAGGAAGAGGAGCCAGGGCCCTCTGGGGTGATGAAAATGTTCTGATTCGATCATCATAGGGGTCGCACAGGTGCATGCCAATGTGAAATGCTAAGCTGACAGGTAAGATCTGCGTATTTCAGCCAATGTAAGGGCACTTCAGTTAAGCACCGGGAAAGGCTTGGGCCCCACCCAGGTGGGTCACCTTGCCCCGCACTAGGGATCTGGCACTAAAGGACTC